ATGGAGGAGCCTTTGGGGAATAACGATCACAGCCACTGTCCATCTGGCACCCACAGGTTGGCAACTCCCCTCATGAGGAGGGACCTATTTTTCAGATGCAGGGACTGAGGGTCCCAGAACTCACCTACGATGACTCAGAGCTGAGATTCAAACACTAGCCTAACGACTCAGTGGCTGGGACAGGGATGAGGACAAAAGGAACATCCCTCAGGCACGGCCAATCCTGGGGAAGGACAGGTGGGCCCAGCTTCGTACCAGGACACTATTAGACGCCATCTCCTCCACACATGTGAACTCGCTAACGATGTAGGCCAGCAGGTACGTGGACATTACAGGCGTGGTGTGGAACTCAGTGACGTTCCAGGTGGGGTCTTCCGTAAGCGGGACACTGGGACCTGGGCATGGAGCATTCAGGCATGTGGGCATGCACCCTCTCCCCTGCCCTGCACCCCAGCCCTGGGGTGCTGGCTTCCCAAGGCTGCGTGGCTCCAGAACAGACCCACTCACCTTTGGGCAGCATGTTGGACAGGGCCGTGAGGTTACTGGGGTGAATGAGGGTGATGTTAAACGTGGCCTTCATGGCCGGCTCGTCAAAGCATGGAAAGGATTTCCGGGCATCTGTAGCCTCCATCTGTGTCGTGGCCAACACCCTGCCAAACCAGGGTGTTAGACGGTGTGCCGGCAGAAATGCCGGCACCCACAGCAGGGGTAGGGAGCCAAGTGCAGGAAAAGCCTAGTCCCTTCCCTCCCCGCCTCCCCCACGCAGCCTCCTACCAGAGCCAACAGGCCAGCTGGCTCTGGGAGATAGGAGCTCCTAGACTCAGGGTCAAAATCCTGGCAGGCTCCATCCCTGTATTAGCTGGGAGACCTCAGGCACATTTCTCTCCTCTGAGGCTCGGTTTTCCTATCTATCCAAGGGGGCACCTCTACCATTATCCCTGACTCTCTAATGTGGGGTGGGGAGGTCCTCAGGGAAAGGGTTTGTAGCCTTGGCAGCTGGTCCACCAGAGCTGTGGATGGAACACTGGGCCAGCTGAGGGCTCCAGATGGTTCAAAGGCATCAAACCCAAGCCCTTCCTCGGCCCCAGGCTCCAGCCCTGCCTCAGCACTGAGATCTGCCCCCGCTGGGCAGACTCAGCTCCAACTTACTTTTTGACATCGCCGTCCGTGTACTCGCTGCGGTAGAAGCCTGCCAGGTCATCAGCCAGCTCCCCCTCAAACTCACTGTCCATCTCGTACAGGCTGCCTGCCTGCAGCGAGTCCTTGAGGTGCACCACCAGGTACTCGGTGAGTTCTACCAGCTCAGTCCTGTCGATGGCGGGGGCCTGGGAGCTCCCCACACCCCGCAGGACCACCCTGTGCCCTTCCGTGGTGGTGTAGTTGAGCTTCTTGCTATGGATGATGATGACGTTGGTAGGCTCCTTGCAGATGAAGCGGACAGTGCTTGAGCCCTTGAAGATGTACAGTCCATTCTCGTTGGGGGTGAGGTAAGGCCTCAGAGTCACCTGGTAGGACTCAGGCGCCAGTGTCTGTGGGAGGCGGTATTGGTTCCACGGCTCGCTCTGGTCCAAGGTGGTGGCCACGGTGGTGGCGGGGCTGGTGGCAGGGCTGGTGGCGGGGCTGGTGGGGGCCTGGGAAGAGTTCTCGACATTCTTGTTCTTCTCCTGAGCATACACAATCGACAGTGCGATGATGGTGCACATGGCTGCCACGCCTAGGAGGATGGCCAGGATGCCCAGGGACTTGGAAATGTAGAAGCCCTTGGCCATGGTGAGGGTGAGGAGGGAGCTCAGGGAGGCTCACGGCAGGCAGAGAAAAGAATGGCTTTGGGTCAGGCTTATATCCCAGAGAGGAGGAGTCCCAATGGCCTCAAACTGGGCAAAAATTAACCAGGGCTCAGACAGGCAAAGGTCACTGGACTGGGCAAGGGCGTGCTCTGCCCAGGCTCCGGAGAAGAGATCCAGGAGCAGTCCACCTGCTGGGAGCAAAGTGTCTGGTTAGAGGCTGTAGGCTGCCCTGGAGCCCGACAGACCGACCGACCGAAGGCTGAAGGTTACAGGGTAGGCTGCGGGCCCAGAAGAGTATGGGAGTGACCAGGTGCCACTGATCTGTGTTCACGATGCGACAGTGGGGACGGAAGCAGGAGGACTGAGGTTAGATCAGGGAAGGACTTCCCAGGACCAAGAGGTGGGAGACAAGGGGATAGTCGGTTTCTGGGCCAAGAACACACTGGGTCTCCCCTGCGGTCAGCTGCTGGAAGGATACCTGGCTCGAGCTCCGCGGTGACACGCTCCCAGCCTCCCCTGCGTTCCTCCTGAGCAGGGCGGATCCCAGGTGCCCCGCCTTTCCCTTCTTGCCAAAACCTTTCTCCTCAATTATCAACTCACCAAGAAGAATAAACTGTTCTATTGCTTTTTTAATAGAGAAGACTGGTGGAAACTAACCTCATCCCAGCAGTGACCTTGGACAGGTAGCTTTATCTGAGAACTCTTTTCTCATAAATAATAATAGTATTTACCTCTGAGGTTTGATGGACAGCTTTAATGGGAAAACATATTAAACACCACAGAGTAGAACCTAAAAATCATGCCCTCCTTTCTTACTTGGAGTTCACCCACTGACTCTTCCTATCCTTGGTAGAAATGAAGATATTGCTTCTCATACTCAATAAAATATGTCCTTAGAGAAAAATGATGTTTCATCTGCCAGTCCAGTTTCTCAGACCTTGATACCACTCACTGACTCACCCCCACATCCAACTCCCCATTCCTCGCTCTCACCATGTCCTTGGTCAAAGCCACGCTCATTGTTTCTGTGGACACTGCTGTACCCTCATGGACGCCCCACTTCCACTCAAGCCCCCTCAAACCTGTTCACTACACAAATTGGATCATTATTTTCTACTACTACTTTAAATCTTCCTTTTGGTCTTGGAATCCAGACTAAATTTTCTAAAGGAACCTGCAAGTTCAGGTGCTATCTGCCTGCCCACTGTCCAGCCTCATTCTCACCATACACCCCCGTTTCGGTTCTCCAGCCATTCTGGCCTTTATCCAGTCCCTTCACCACAGGACCTTTGCACATACTATTCCCGCTGCCTGGGTCATCTTCTTTCCCTTCTTGCCCTGGTTAATTCCTGTTCATCCTTCAAGTCTTGCACCACGAACCTCTTCTTCAAAGCCCTATCACTCAGCACATTTCCATTTGATCTGTGTGGTTGATGACTTGAGTCCTACCTGTCTCATCAATGGACCGGAGGCCCTGTGAGGGCAGGGCCTTGGGCTGCTTCTGGCACATGCCTGGCGTATAGCAGGTGCTCAATACATACTTGCTGAGTGAATGAACACATGTCTGAATGGGCATCTCCACTTCTGTCCCTGCCCTACTGCTGCCCTGGGAGAACTACCTGTCCACTTCTCTGAGCCCTTTTCCATTTGTGGCACACACACGTAGGGGGTGCCAAATGTGTCTCAGGACTCATGTCCGTCTGCCCCATCAGCTTATCAGCACCTTGTGGATCTCATTCATCTGCCACTCCCTGTCCCTGAGACTGCATGAAGGCTTGGTGAGTAAATATGTACATGAACTGGATGGCTGTATACGTGAATTCATTTAGGCACGAGTGCAAGAGTGAATGACTGCCACCTGTCATCTTGCCAGCGGAGACCAGAATCTGAGTGCTGGGTCTTCAGGAGAATCCTGGGTGCCCACCTTTCAGATGGAGGGTGCTCTGAGTCCCCAGCATTTACCCCTTTCTCTCTGGAGACCTGCCCCCAGGGCCCTGGTCTGGGCAGTGTAGACGTCCCACTGCAGTGACCGGCAGCCACTCGTGTCAGGCCTGGGCTGACGCCTAAGGGACACTAGTAGGAAGTCAAGTGCCCAGGGCGGGGCTGCAACTTGGGCATGGTGACAGAGGGAACGGTGACACTCAACAGTGACATAGCATGTGCTCCCAGTTCCATCAGGGCTAGAATTTTCCAAGGGAGGCCATCTTTATAGTACCCCCAAAGGCTGGCACCCAGGACACATGCATTCTCCTGAATCACGGTTTGTTTCACCGTGTCCCTGACTAGGCCTGCAGCCCCCTCCTACCCTTGCAGCAGAAAGACCCACAAATCCGCTTGGCCTAATCCCTTCTCCAAACAAAGAAAGAGGCCCCGCCTGGCCCACAGTGTCTCTTCCTGTTTGCTTTGGACACAGACCACGGCCCAGCTGCCTGGAATATTTACTCTTTTGGAAAGGGCCTCTGGTCTTCAAAGTTGGCACAGCAGGCAGTCCACTGCCCTGTAATGAGAGGTCCCTGCTCTGGGCACAAGGCCAGCCCAGGCCAGGGGCACAGAGAGGCGCATATGCCACAGCACCCACACCTGTAATACTGAAAAGGGCCGCCTCCTTCAGCCCTCTGCTGCGGCACAGGCCTGACCATCTCCACACGCCAGCAGGTAGTGGTGGCAGTGCTGCCCTTCCCTGGCACCCAACCCCGTCACTCAGCCCCGTCACACATCTTGGCAGAGGACTCTTCCTCTCCTGCTCAAGCCTGGTCTCTAGCTCCTCACTGGCCATGGAATGAAACCTCAATTCTGCCTTGAGCCTCAAGACCTTCTGTGAACTCGACCCTCTGGCCTCTATTTCCAATACCCACTGTGTCTTCAGCTGCTGGCATTTTTTTCATATCTCTGTGCTTTCGCTCATCCTGTTTGGGCTGCCAAGAGTATCTTTCCTCTCCCTCCTGTCAAACTCCTACTCATCCTCCAAAACTCAGCTGTCACTGCTTTCTCATGTATGGCAGCCCCTCTGTACTTCCCTGGCTTCTGGTTTATATCTCTATCACAGCGCTTAGGAAAAGGCCATCTACATGTTCAAAGCCTCCTAAACCTAGGTACCACAGAGGGAAGGCTCTGTGACTTCGTATACCCCTCCATGCCTAGCACAAGTTAGAAGCCCAATAAATGTTGGCAAAGTGAACGATAGTGTCTACAATCCTTTCCGTGGCTTATAGGTCTGGCGTGATCCAGCCCCTGCTGATTCTCTGGTCTCATCTAAAGCCCTCTACCCATGTCACCCTCTCTCCTCTGCCCTACTGGCCTCTTTTGGTTCCTCAAGCCCACAAGGCTCTTCCCCCCGCCAGTGGCCCCACACGAGCTGCTCTTTGGGCCTGGAAAGCTTCTGTGTTTCCTCAACTCATGCTAGAGGCTCGCTTCAGTGATGCTGGCCCAGGACAGCCCCTCCAGCACCCCTGAGACTCTGAGCACCATGAGGATAGTATCCGACTCCCCAAGCACCAGGGACACAGCCGGCGGGTGACACATGCTCGTGGAACCGATGTATCAACAAGAAAATGAGAGACTGGTGGTGCAAGATGAATCAGCGTGAACTCAGCCTCTTGATCCTCGGGACACGTTTCCCCTCCCCCGCTACTCTCTTCAGGGTCCTAGATTGTGCACACCAACTTTGCGAGTTTGGCTGTATCTGTGATCCTCCTGCATATGGTTTACTTAATATTTTTCTTTAAATCAATTCACTACTTACCCTCCTTCTGAGTAATAATGATCATGGCATCATGGTCGGATGCATTACGTATATTTTTTTCCGATATATGATTCAATTCCTGACTAATGATTTAAAAACTGCTCATCTAAAATCATCTTGTATAGTCGCAATCACTTTGGGAATCACTGCTCCATTATGCGTGATTCTGGGGGTGGCATCACCTGCAGGTTGTCTCTGGAGTGGGACTTTTCTGCAGGTGAAAAAAATGTTTGGGTTCCCTTTCCTGTTTGTCTCTTGACACGGGAAGAAACCAAGTACCTCCAGCCTCATGTCAACCAAAGCAGCCTTCCCATGGGTTTATACAATTCTGCCCTATCTATGTCTTGGTTCGGAGAACAAAAGTTCCTCTAAATTAGGAAGAAAAAAATATCAAGGTTGACAATGATCAAGCAAGAGAACATTAAAGGCGGAGCCACATATGCAGACGACATCAACTGAAATAAGGCAGCTTTGTCTCAGATGTGACGTTGCCCAATGTTCAAACATGAAAATATCAGTCCCCAGGGAGGGACTGTGGTGGGGAGAGCTGAGGACCAGCAGTCAGGCCAAGTACTGTGCGATCCAGGCCCCTCACCGATTGCTGGGTGCACTGATTGCTGTTCACACTCACTCAGCACCGCTTCTACATCCTGTCAGATGTAGGGCTGGCTGGGTTGGGAGGTAGGGGATAACCTGAAGCCCACATGTCTGCTCTGAAGGTGCAGTGAGTGGGGGGTGAGGACAAGGCTGGGGCTGGGGCCCCAGTGTAGGGTACACTCTGACCCCTCAGGCCCCTGGCCTTCTCCAGGCTTCTGAGGTCTCCGCCCACAGCTGCATGAGGCTGGGCCTGAGCCAGACCCCAGGGTGCTTCCTCTGGGAGCCTTGGACACTGTGCATCCTGTGAGAACCTTAGAAAGCTCCCTGATAGGAAGTCAGCACCTGTCGTGGCCCCTTGAGCCCAATGCAGGGCACTCAGGGGGTAAGGAACAGAGGGGCCCTTATGGGGTTGGGGAGGTACACCAGCAGTGTAGGAGTCATTCTAGGCTGCAGATCCTGCAGATCCTGATTATCCCCCAAGATAATCACCACCATTTGGCAGCTGAGGAAACTAAGGCACAGAGAGGTTAAGTGGCTTGCCCAAGGTCACACAGCTAGTTAGTGGTCAGTGGCAGGCTCTACAGGCTTAACTACACATGCTCCTAAAGCATGTTCCCATATCGCCCCCTCCCTGCGTCATCTACTGTGCAGTGCCCAGGAGGGTTAGAGACCACTCACTCACTTTAGTATAACAACACATGATACCAAGTTACAAAAGGCAGATCTGGGTGGGGTGAAAGGTTGGACCATCTTTTAGGGAAACTGGGTCCCTTCTTCTGACTAGGCACAGTAAAGGGCAGTAGTAGCTGATGCAAGGAATGGCTGAGAGACTGGAAACCTGGTGGAAG